TCAAAGATGCCATCCGGTCCGTTAAGTCCGGTTCGTTAATTTTTATCAGCTGTCCGTTAAATTCCATTAAAGAAAAAGGGAGAAAATTTCAGAAAAAACGAAAAAAATCCAAAAAAATCGAAAAAAACCCCAAAAAATCACAACAACTGCGGCTAGTTGAAAATCTAGTATGCATAGGTTGAAATAAAATACAAACATACTCTCTAATAGCGAATTCCATAAACTATAAGTATGAATAAAACCCAAAAATCCCTAAAAAATCCAAAAATCCGTTAATTTTTGGTTAATTTTTGTCTTTTTTCGTTATTTTCCGTTAATTAACGGAAAATTAACGTAAATTAACCTCTGTCCGCTATTAACGGATCCGGGTGGCCACCTCTGGACCCAACACCCCTTGCACCACATGGCGATTGATGGCGGATGAGCCTTTGAGACATTGTAAGGTTGGACTGAATGCAACAGTGGTTTTCGACCGTCTATTCCATGTGTCATACCGAATGCTGAGCTTGGATCAAGTGTGTGGGAAGGGAGATCGTTGTAGGTGATCATATTCTGTGTGACCGTGTGAATTGTGAATCACAAGAGCAATCATTGCGCTGCGCCAAATGCGCAGTTGAGTGCCAACAAATTAGTGTTGTTCAGGTCCAATCGCTTCAAGCGATCGACTTCGAGAACGTGGCAGGTACCGAGTCTGAGAGCGTGCGGACACTGCCCCATTGTCGTACAATGTGTGGCATGTCGATTTATGACTTGTAAAGCGATGGTGACGATGCATTGCGTTCGCATGGGGATTTGGTGCGTTGCATGAGGAGTTGGTGAACAGCGATCGTGAAAAAGTGAACGTTCGATGCCCTCAAAGCACACAGTTGGCTGCGATGCGCAATGATCAACGTGGAATCTCGGCTGCAACAGGCTGGGCTGGTTGGTGGAGACATTTTGGCTTCAATGATCAGCCTTGCTTGTTCACGAACACTGAATTGAGGTCCTCGCTTCGGCAGCACCTGTGCGAGGAAATGGAAGGCTTGGATCCTCACACTAGTGAGGCAGCAGCAGCAGCAGCTCAGCAGCCCTAATGGGCGGCTGCACATGGAGGCTGCTTTAACAGAACCCCCAAATCCTGGCCATGCTCTGAAGACTCCGATCCCCGAAGTCACACTGATGTGACATAATCGTAACACACGGACTGAATGGATGAACCGGCCGCCAAGGGACGCCGTTGCTTGGGATCTCTCTGTGACTCCATTGCCTCCCGCTCGTTCCCAGACCGCCTCCACCGCTACCGCTTCCCCGGCGGCGAACGAGCCAGCGACCCAAGCGCTCCACAAAACTGACTGCGGCCCCGCTTACTAACCCTACCGACAAACCACACCCCTCGAATCCGATTTCGATCCCCGCCGCTTCCACCGTCCCCGCGCCCCACGATCCGATCCTTAAGGACCACCCCTCAGCCTCTGCTCCCCCGCCCACCCAAGTCCACCCACGCCGCCCACCTTTCGCCCCACCCTCCGCACCACCCACCCCACCCCGGGCGACCGCCAACCGCCTGGGCCACGCGCCAGGAGCATTTAATGCCCTGTCTGGGCAAGCGGTGCGCCGCAATGCCGAATGGTCCGGTCGCCATGCGGCCCACAAGCTCTGCGTCGGTGGCCGGGAGGGTCGGCGGGGCGATTGCGGGCCCCCGCCTGCCGACGCGATCCCTCCCGTCCATCCGAACGCCGGCGGGGGGGCGGTGGCGGCCCGCCGGCGCCGCTCGACCAGGTGGGGCCGGGCGACGGAGGGCTGGTCGGGGTGGCGCGAACAGGCGGCGGCGGGGGCGCGGGGGGGCGAGATTTGTTGCAACGAGGAAGAAAAACGGGCACGCACACACAGAGCATCCCCTCCTAGGAAAGTGCGTGTGAGAATCTTCGGAAACTTTGAAGACTCCGGAAAAGATGGTGGTGGTGGTGGTGGGGAGCATTGTGGCTGGCGTCTCACAGTCGGCCAAGCGGGGCAGTTCAGGTGGTCAGGCGAAATGGGGATCTGATAGCTCGACCCTGCCGTCGGCGTGCGTCTTCTCTTAATTGAATTCGAATTGTGGCCCACGCGCCGGATTTCGTGAAGGGTCGAAGGGCGGATGAGGCGCGCGGCGTTGCCGATGGTGGGCTGGGCACTATTTTTGGGGCGCCTTTTCTCGCAGCGAGGAGCGAGAGAGGGGCTAGAACGCCTGAGATCCGACGCAGGCGACGCGATCTAGGTGCCCCAAACGGCTGCCACGGCTGAGCGGCCGTCTGCCCAGCATTGTCTCGTAAAAATGAACAGCATTGGGTACCATGGGAATCCCTTCCTTGAGCAGAATTCTGTGAACCTGTTGCAAATTTGTGAGGCTGAGAGTTCACGCATGGCGCGATCGTCCTGGCAGGTTCAGAACCTGTCTGCCTCGCAGACAGAGCGATGTGATTGCGGCTCTGCCCTTTTGCCCCATCCACACCATCATCAAATTATCTGCACCATCGTGCCAGTCCCTGTGGCGGATTGTCCCTACCAACCCTTAGAGGAGCGCGAACGCGGAGATTGTGTATTACGTGATAGTTTTTGTATTGTTTTTGTATTTTGAGGGCATAAGATGATATCCTGCAGGCTATGAGCACCTAACTCCTTGACACAAAAAGTACCTGCAAGATAGTTTCCATTCTGTAGAAGGCGATGAAAAATGTCTTAAGAGCGATGAGAATTGCACACAGTACATAGCCACAGGACCAGCAGGAGAACCGGTGCTCATCAGGGCATTTATGAGCAGCTGACAATTGAAAGCAAAGGGGGTGTAAAATGTGCACTTCTCTTGTGAGCAGCAACGTAACGGGTTTGTACCAGCTGTGAAGGTCAGAGAACTGAATGTGGCCCACTGACAAGGTTTTGCACTGTGCAGTGGTGTGCAGCGTGGCCGCCAATCCCTTGGGCCCCACCCCTGACGTCGTGCCCCCCGCCCAGGCCTACCAGAAGATCGTTGACCTAGGGACGGGCAAGGCCAAGCTGGATGTCTGGAAGACGTTCCTCTTCGGCTTGCTGGCAGGCGCATACGTTGGGATGGGGGCACTTCTGGCATTGACGGTGGGCGGGGCATGCCCAGGTGCACATCCACACAGAAGTTTATGCTGGGTTCATTGGCAGGTCAAAGTTGGTCATGAACATGGATCATACTTGCAGTTGGAGCATGTGTTTGGGCTGAAGACTCATTGCCGCACTGCATTGAAACTGATGAACACGTCAACAGCACCCACACCTGGACTCTCCTGAACTCATGAATATGATGTACTATTGTGGAATCAAGAGGAAAGAAAACACACACATAAGTTGCAACATTTTGGAATCAAAGAAACAGCAGCCACAAAAGCAGGTAGCCAACACTGCCCTTTTGCAGGGGTTGCGATGTGAGTGTATTAGCTGTCATGCCGGCGCAGGATATGCTGATCAACAGTGAACACCCAGACACAGTCTCCTCGTTAAGTCTCGCCTTCTCACCCTTGAGACCAAGCATTCATTTAGAGACAAACACTTCTTGGGGCTCCACATCGCGTTCCACTTCCTTGCTTTGTGGCACAAGCCTCCATCTCTTCGGCTGGGACAGGGGTAGGGCCTGGATTCTTAATTTGATGTAATGTTTTTGGAATTAAAAAGAAACGTAGTCCAGATGTTGGGCTCTGCCTGGGGCGAGTTGGGCAGCTCAGTGGCTCATCAGAGCAGCGTACGTTCCACTGGACCATTGGCATCAGGAATCGGCATCTGGACCCTCAGACAGTCACCAGAAGCTCAGCCATTTCCGAACAGGTGTGGCTCTGGGTGGCGAATCGCTAGCTGCATGCTGCCTTCAGACAGCCTGTCTAGGAGCAGCAGGAACACAAAGGAAACGAAAATTTGTAAAGGAGACAAGCAAGGCAAATGTAGTAAAGAAAAGCATGTCCTGGTGAATGGGCTTGCCAAGTCTGTGCACTTGTCAATTGAATATGTGGACAGTATGGGTTACCCTATACTGTCTATGTACACCAGCCACCAAGTTGAGGATAACTTGGAAAATCCATCTCAGTACAGAATACAGCATTGATAGCATTCATGAGAACGCGAGACGGCACTGCTGATATGCTTGTCATGTGTCTCCCATCGTTTGGAACGGAAGCCTTATGTGTAAAGCGTAAATTTTGCCATGGTGTTCGGTTTGCCACATGTTTTCCTGCCAGAATCTTATCCAGCACAGGGCAGTTGAAAATCTGTGTCCTGGTTGCTCATGAACCCACCTCCTCCTTGCCAGGAATCCTCCAAGCCAATCCCGGCCTGCAGAAGATCGTCCTGGGCACCTTCGGCCTACCCTTTGGCCTCATGATGGTCCTCAACTGTGGAGCTGAGCTCTTCACTGGCAACACGGCCATGGTGACTGCAGCAGTGTATGAGGGCAAGGCCACGTGGGGTCAGCTGGCCAAGAACTGGGTGTTTTCGTACCTGGGCAACCTGCTTGGCAGCATCGGTCTGGTGTACTTGTTGGTCCAAGCTGGAACTGTGGGCAACCCCACTGCCCTGAGCGTCGCCGCTGCAAAGACATCACTCACCTTTGGCCAGGTGAGCAAACCTGCTGTGAATATGGCCATCCATCTGTAAAGTATAAATTTGCCTCAGATGCATTTTGCTGTACATAGAATGTCCAACTATGGAATGTGTAACAAACGTAGTTCTGCCCTTGGGCAAACACTTGGTGTTATCCTAGTGCACAAATGTGTGAGTGGGTATGTGGATCCACCACCGTGTGCTTCATCACCATGTGACTCCATGCTGCCCTTGTGCATGTAAGCATCGCCTAGCGTGTTGGCAACTGCCACTGTTCGTTCCTGAAGGACACTTGCTTCTGTTGTGCTGCTCAGCTCTTTCACGCTATTTCACCCCAGCTGGAGCACGCCAATGGTACTACATGCTTGTTGCTGTGACTGTTGTCGAGGTTCTCCATGTCTGTGACCCTTTCCAGGCACAGCTGGGGAGTTGCTGGCTAAGATGCGTCCAACCAAGCACCTGCCCAACTTTCCATGTTGTCTCCAAACGAAGTACCGAAGAAATTATACTGCCGCTTTATTGTGACCGCCTTTGTGTGCCTTGCAAAATACTGCAAATTATTGACTACAGCACACTTGCCAATGTAGAGGCGGCCCCTGTACCCCTGCTGGAAATGTGACGGCCTTTGACTGCCTTTTGACAGGCAAAAACTTTTGACATAGCCCGAATGGCGGCATGTATCCACGATGTCTTCCCATTTCAGATCTTCTGGCAGTGCTGATGAACGATGTGTAGCAACTCGCCATGGTTTAAGCACGGAATGAAATTGTGCAGGAAATGCAAAATTGCGACAAAGAAAAAATCCCAGAAAATGAGTAAATTCAGAAATGGGCAAATCGCAACAAGATGCAAATTTGCAAACGTTCAAAGTGGCGAATTTGCACCCTGTCAGAGAGGCAGTCCCATGGTAACGTTCCGCTGTGCCTCTGCTGTGTATCACAGGCCTTCCTGCGGGGCATCCTGGCAAACTGGCTGGTGTGCCTGGCCATCTGGATGGCCACCGCCTCCTCCTCCCTGCCTGGCAAGATCATAGGCGTCTGGCTGCCCATCTCCGCCTTCGTCGCAATGGGCTTCGAGCACTCTGTGGCGAACATGTTCTTCATTCCCTTTGGCATGGCATCTGGATCGAGCATCACGACCGCCCAGTTCCTGACAGCCAACTTGATCCCAGTGACCCTGGGGAACATCGTTGGTGGCGCATTCTGTGTGGCGACCATCTACTCGGCGCTGTATGGCAGACTGGGCAACGGCGGCAAGGACTGAAAGGGGAGCTGCGGCTCAGCACTGTGGAGAAGCTGAGCAGTGGTGAAAAAGGGCTCAGGGACGATGCTGTGGACCTGTTGTGCAACGTTTGCGTTCCAGGGGCGCCAAGTTGTGGGCGGAAATTGGCAGAAGGGATTCAAGGACAGCTTGCAAGTTGCTTTTGTGCTGTCTTGTTGTGGATTGTGTGCAACAGGCTGACAAATTATCATTCTAATTGTTGTGGGGGCCATGGGTTTGTGACGCCTGGAAATTGGCAGCAAGGACCCAAGGAGGGCTCACGGCTTGCTGTTGTGCGTCGCATTCCCATGGGGGGAGGCTTGTCTTCTAGACATTCTTCAAGTGGTACTTGAAGAACGTACAAGTTCTCAGTGGGCCTTATGAACCTCTGTATGCTTTTTTGCAACATGGCGTGAGGTAATGCCGTCTTTTGACCTCCGAAGGCACCCACCTTGGGTGGCATCACATGTGACGAAGGTTGGTGGTCGTTTCGGAATCCTGATGGCGTGAATTGGGGGGGGGGGAGGAAACGATGGCTGGAATTGTAACGATTTCCGTAGACTTGGTTTCCGGCAATGGGCACGCTGCCTTGGAAAGCGAACGGGAAGTACTGCAGCAACTCCCATATTCATCGAAAATGCAGTATAGGTGGCAGAGTCTCATTAGATGCCGTAATGTGATCGACTAACTTATTCGACCTTGACTGTTTCTAGCGCTGGTTACTGAACCTAATAACAAACTCATCGAAGTCTCAACCCGAATGTGCAGTCGCCCATCCGTGAATTTGCAACATGCGGCCCAGGCTGGGGCTCTTTTGTAGAGCACAAGCTTGAGAAATTATATGAACGAACCGCGCATGACAAATTCCTATGTCAGTTGCTAAACCAGGCTCCTACAGCCTTCCGAAGCAGACCCCTCAATTGTCTCATCATCATTTCTGGGCGATTGTTCCTCTTGCTCGGGGGGGCCGCAAGGAACTGGGGGATCGTCCAGCCACCTGCCCCGCGGTAGAAGAAGACGTAAAACTATGGATTACGAATTCCAATGGCTTAATCAATTGGCCTATTCATTATCGTTGTGCTTCAGGCTGTCGTGGTGTTTGTCATGCAGCTTGATAAACTGGAACGTTCGAGAATGTCGAAATTTGAGGCAAAAAAACTCCAGCGCCTTCGAAGCAATGGCATGTCATGTGAATCGATGTTCGGGAAATTGTGCCCCTACACGAATTTGCCCATGTTGGTTTAATAGCCATGCATGAATACTTTGGCCATTGCTGTACTGTTGGTTTACGTCATCTCCCGTGCCCAGAGATTTTGGCGACGCAGTTTATGCTTCGCGTGCATGCTCAGATTGGCACTTGGAAACATGAATTCACATCACAGCAGCGATTACAAGTTCTCGATTTGAAATCCCACCATTACTCAGCTTTATAACGCAATTAGAGTTATTATGAATGCACAAGGAAAACTGCTTTTGAACCTCTGTTTCGAAAATAGAAATTTCATCTCCTGTCAGTATTTCAAGGCAGTTGATTTGTGCCGCTTAGCCAGGGGACATAACACTTATCGTCTAATTGATTGTCTCAGTGTCATCTACAATAGTGTCACAGTATGTTTTGTTGTTTTTTTAAGACAATTTTCTCATGTTGACAGCCCAAAAATTGTATGTTTGCAATATCCATTAAATCGTAAATCCCAAGTAATAATGATATATTGTCGTTGGCTCGTTGATCGCATAGTTCAAATTGTTTAAGGGGGCCTGACGTTAGTTTTTAATTGGAGCCCAAAACGGCATCCCTTCTTTACGGGAAAGCAATGCATTCAGTACACCATCATGATGCTCCGCGTTTTTGTTGCCAGACTCGCAAAACTGGGCAACGATATAACGGCAAGGTCGATCAGCAACATCACCGCCTCATGGAAAAATGGTAAAAGATTCACCAGATCTATATAGCGCTTGACAGTGCTGTGTTGTACCCCTTTTTCCAAAAAGGGGCCTCAAATTTAAGCACCAGCATGGCAGGCGACGCATGCACGCAGTAGCGTTTGCTCAACCCACATTCAATAGGCAACAACACATCTACTCGGAACCCTGAATGTGAGCTGAAACTCACGGCCGATCTCCATTTAGTCACTCACGTCTCGGGTAGAGGCTGGACAATGTACGTGGGAACACTCCCCTGCACCAGCTGCTCCTTATTTCGCGGCTCCAGGGCGGCGTTCCACAAAATGCGTCCGACGTTCTCCAGGATTTTCGGATTCTTTGCCTTCAGCAGCGACGCCAGGGGCTGGATGACGTCCAGCCTGCCCACCTCGGCCTTGACCTCGTCGTCCAGTATCAAATTCCTGAGGACGCCCGTGGCGCCGGCTACAGCCTTGCTCATGAACTCCGGCAGCGACACGTTACCCTTCTTTCCTGCGGCCAGAATCATGCGAGCAGGCTTTCGATACCGCCAAGGTTTGCAAGTGTGAAGTTATACGATTGCCAGGGAAACGAGTGAGCGTAATGAGTGCACATCGAACGCGTTTGAGCGGTGAGTAATTTTTGAAGTTTGTCAACGATGACGCATCCTCCACAGACGGGACAAGTCCACGTTTTATACAGTGTTAATATACTGCTAATGGCACAACGCCGTTGCGTGCAATTTCGGCTTCATATACCTGTCTGTGGCTGAGAATTTCGACATGTCACGTGCACCATTCCCTCATGGAAATTCAGCGGTGGTTCAGCGCCGGTCCATCGAAGCCTGGCTAGGCGGTTAAAACCAAGTCGCCGTCATCGGCAGAGCGGAGCTTCGGCTGCTCAAACTGACAGTTATTTGCAAAGCTGACTGAATGTCCGCTGGAATATCCAACGTGATGCGCATTTGGGCGCAGGTGCATGGTTGAAGCGCCACGTCGCGCCGTTCTAGCAGCATCACCTCTCTTCTAGCCCAACTATTTCTACATTTTGCCTCACCTCAATCCGCATTTCCCAAGTCTCGGCAACCCTGTGACCTGCGAGTTTTATAATTTTGCCATGCGACGAGACGGAGCCTCAACGCGCATCCGCGACTGGGCTGTTTTGTCCCGGCGCTGCGGCCCAACGAGCCGTTTCTGAGCATTGCAACAAAAAATCATTGCGATCTTTAGTGAATTTTCATCCGCTAAGGCTCGCATAGGCTGCCAAACGCCATTGCATTGAGATATGCTTCCGATGGAACGGCGTCCCAACTGTATCTGATGTTGACATGCCCCACCTTTTCCGCCCGTCTCTTTGGCGGCCAGTCTCGCGAGGCCGGCCACCGCCCGAATGACGCCGCTCTTCAACATGGCCGGCGCGACTTCGGGGTCCCCCGACAGGCGGAAGAGGGCGCCGCACAGCTGGGCCTTGTGTTCCATTTCCACGTAACTCAACACGTCCACTAGCTTGGCCAGTAGGTCGCCCTCAAGGAGCATCTTCCTGTCCACCGATAGCACCGTTGCTGGAAAGTATGGCACAAGGCTCAGCACTTTATATACTTAGTTGGCAATTTCTCCCCTGGAACGGCGTTCGATTGTAGCTGAAGTAAGCCTTGTATCCAAGCACGCATTGAAGGCGTGCTTGAGCATTTTCATAACAAGTGTCGTAGTAATAAATACTTGTCAAATATTTATCAACAACTACGTGGTATAAACACCTTGAAAATAGATGTTTCCTCCGTCCGGTACTAAATTGCAGTTAAGAGCTGTGGCCATATAAAATCAACGAAAACATCTCAGATTTGCGTCAAATTTTCTCACAATGTTTTACCTTGAGTATACTTTGTGTTCCCAAAGTTCTGAGACAATCGCCTTGGTAGTTAATCTACAATATCATTATGAACAGACACCACACAGTCAAGTGTTTCATGGTGGCTCCAAAACGGCCCTTTTTCGAGCCGTGGACTTGTCCACATGGCCACTATGCCACCCTATGGTTGCCCCCACCGCGCGAAATGACGGGACTTAGAGGTGAACTTCAAAGACAAGTCCTATTGGAGATAAAAGGACCGGAGGGCAGGCCACCACCTCGTCCCGAAAGGCGCGATCGAGGATCTCGCCTATCTCTTGCCTCCATCGCAACTCCATGAATTGTGTGCTAGTTGTGCAGTGCTATATTTTCCGCCTTCACTGAAAACTGCTCCTGCCATATCTTGGGATGTCCGAAGTTCCCTTTCCATCGGCGGGACCAATTCATTCACCTGGGATCGTCGATTTTATAGCGGAACTGCTCACCGATGGTCACAATTATTCGGCACAAAGTCTCCAATCTACAGGAGAGATCTTCGATCATGCCTTTCAGGAGGTGCTGACGGCTTGGACCCCACCTCTATATCTCATTCGGACCTGAATTTGGAAACGGGCCTCCAACTGTCGTCGCTTCGTGCAGTGGGATCCACCGCAAGGTGCCGTGGTCTGGGGCCCGAAAGCGGGCTGTTTCGGCGCCACCTTGAAAAACTGGGGCAGTTTTGGAAAGTGGCGTTTGTTCAAAATGGCACCGCGGAACGACTACGAAGCTTCTTGACACGAAAATTTGGGATCACAAAGTAAAACAAAATTACAATTGTATCACAATTGTATCACAAAGGAAAATAAAATTGGTGAAATTCTGATATGTTTCAACGGGTTTCCCAAAACCGCAGACCATAATTGCAATTTATTATGGGACATAAGAAGTACTAACTTCTAGCATCCTGATGATAGCAAATTAATATGACAATGCTGTTGCCACGAATTTCGTGTATAGAATCATGCACGGATAATGTATGGGGCGTGTTCCTGTCCGCTGGGCTGTCTTGTTTCAAATCACTTGACTCAGCACGCACTTTGCGGATGTACGTATTGAAGTACTTCGGACAAACGAGGCTGTTTCGGACAGCACGGATGGGCCTTGTGGAACCTGAAGGCGTCAATCTTTGCTCGGAAACAAACGAGGAACTAAATCAAATGCCAAGTGTAGTGCTAGCCTGTCCAGGTGATGGCTCTTGATAAAATGTATATTGA